TGGGAAAATGATGTTGCTAATGTGATGATGGCATTACATGGGAAACTGATTGAAGAATGTGTTCCTAGCCATAGGGGGAAAATTCAAAAATAGTTCCCCCCCGGAAACATTATAGATCCTCGAATGATTATCTCGATTTCTAGCAGTCCGTAGAGGTCTCATCCTGAAACACTTTTTTGTGCTACCTTTTCCCAGTTCTAGCTAGAGCACTGTCTTGAAAACTTTTTATGTCGGCGATTTTCGTGTTAGTATTTTTCCTTGTAGATTTTGTTTGAAGTTTTATATAGATATCAAGTACTTCTCCCAAAAGGAAATCACTATCATGACGTCAACTACTACTTCGCCGCTCGGGGACAATCTACTCGACGATCATCGATGCAAAGAGGAAGACTCCTATGGTGCCGATTTAACCACTACTAGCAATAGTGACATCGACCACTTGCCCGTATCTGTTTTTGGCTCGGAGCCCCCAGGGACCCCTCCCATCAACCCAACCATCGCTCCACCAGAGTCCTCAAGCAACTACTTAACGACTGACGGTGACACTGTTCCCGCACAGGTGAGAGTAAGTAGTCGTAGCTGTTGAGCTGATGTGATTTTTAGGTCTATATTGGAACTGATGTTCTCACAGTGCATCTCCCTAAAGGTGTTTTACTAGCGATGAGCTTAGCAAGGGGCGAGGACCACGGTAAGTCGTTTTGTCCCTTTTCACTCGGAGTAGGACTATGATTATCAGTGTTGGAATATATGCCCACTGTCCTCAGCTGATCATTGAAATTTAGATATAAGTGTATACAAGCCAATGAGAATCTCCCTAAATTTCCTACCAGAATTTTCACATGTGGTTGATCATGTGTAACGATTATCATTGTTTGTTTTTCAGGGAGTTTATCAACGCCGTACACTATCGAAGAGATCAACTCAGCGTCTATGCTTGTGCAAGAGCTGACGAGAAGTGCTGGCCATATCGATTTTGAAGATCTTCTCAAAGTAGGCGGCGGTCTTGAGGACACGGAGTCGTCCCGGTATACCGATGGGAGCAAGCTGACGGTCGAGTCTCCGCGAGAGCGATTGCCTAGCATTAACGTAAGATTCGGGTTTCTATTTTATCTATTGGAGTTTCACCCGTTTTACGTGAAGTAGCGCTATGCAGTGGTCGTGAAATATACTTCTCACTATGGATTTTGATATCAGGGTGAAACTCTATTATTACGTATACGTTATGTTCTTGCTACATGTATAAAAAATATGTCATATATCTTATGACGTT